AAATCGGCCAAAAGTTTTTCGTCGAGACCGCAAAAGTATTGCCCAAAGGCGGCAAAATTATTGACCAAAAACGGGAAAAGTATTGACCGAAAACGGCAAAAGTATTGACCAAAAACTGGAAAAGTATTGTCCATCGCGGCAAAAGTATTGACCAAAAGCAGGAAAAGTATTGACCAAAAACTGGAAAAGTATTGTCCACCGCGGCAAAAGTATTGACCAATAGCAGGAAAAGTATTGACCAAAAACTGGAAAAGTATTGTCCGCCGCGGCAAAAGTATTGACCAATAGCAGGAAAAGTATTGTCCATCGAGGCCGCAAAAGTATTGTCCAAAAGCGGCAAAAGCATTGTCCGTGTAGGCTGCAAAAGTATTGACCGAGAATTCTTGGAAGTGACGTCATTTCTTGGAACTGTCTTGGCGAACGATCTCTTGTCATGTCATGTTATCCTGATACAAAATCGCAAAATCGCCCGAAAATTTTACGGCCAGGCTACAGAAGCGGTGCTCGAGAATTCTTGGAAATGACGTCACTTCTGGGAACTGTCTCGGCGAACAACCTCCTGTCACATTATATTCTCCTGATACAAAATCACGAAATCGGCCAGAGACCTTTCCTCAAGGCGGCAAAATTATTAACCGAGAATTCTTGGAAGTGACGTCACTTCTGGGAACTGACTCGGCGAACGACCTCCTGTCATATTATGTTATCCTGATACAAAATCGCGAAATCGGCCGAAAAATTCTGGCGATACAATTCCAAGAAATGACGTGTTTCCAAGAATTCTTTGGACAATACTTTTGCAGCCTTGCCGCAAAATTTTCGGCCGATTTTGTAACTTTGTATTGGGGTAACATAAAATGATAGGAGGTTGTTCGCCGACCAATTCCAAGAAATTATTACGTCATTTCCAAGAATTTCTTGGGCAATACTTTTCCTGCTTTGCAGTATATTTTAATTATTTTACTTACCTTATACCCACCTTACTTACTTACCTTCCCTTACTTGCATTCCTTTTCTTACTAACCTGAATTCCTCTTCATTTAAATGTCATTTAAACAGATATTGCCTACTCTCTATATTTAGAGTTCAAAGGGAAGATTGAAAATTTACAAGAGATGGTTAATATCTTATACTTTGTGCGTAGCTCTTAGCTTGGAATTATTTTCCAAAGATTTCTCTTTGGAAAATAATTCCAATTACCAGGTCTCACCACGTGGAGGTGGCTACACATCGAGACCCGGACATGCGCCCTAGTGGCGCAGCCTGCTGGCGCTACCTGTAACAAAGGCACCCTAACCTAACTTGGAGCGAAAAAAGTTAAAACGAATCTACTGACACTTTATTAAATTTCGTGTCTTACAAAAAGGTCTTCGATACGGTATACTAAAATTTATTACTCTACTGTCGCAACGCTAAGACTCTAATATTTCCAAGTTCCCACAAAATTGGGGAATCAAATATAAAAAACGCGAGCAATGAAAAACTAAGAAAAAATCGCGACGCGCCCGAACGAGATCGCGATTATTCGAAAGACCGACTAGCCTAGGCGATGTACTCCCGTGCACAGAGATAACTTCATGCCTCGGCATCCTCGCGATCGGGCCTAGTCCAAGTCCAGCCACTGCAGCACTCGCCATGACTTACACGTGAACCGAGATAGTCCCCGAACCAATGAAACTCCCAGAGTCGATACGAGGGTCCGACCGGGCCTTGCAAGCCAGACAGACACTCCGTGCCCCTGCCCCATGGGGTAGAACTTAATCATCCAAAGTTGTCTGACCGTAGACACTATGCCCGTCCAGCTGCAGGCCCATGCCCCAGTCGCGTACGACCAGGGTGCCGGACCCCCGCATCGAGTCCAGAGGAAACAGAGACCCGAGGGCCACCCTGGAACCCGATGCATGACGAGATCGACAGTGGCTGGAAATGGGTGTCGGAGACGAGTCGTGAGGATGACTTATGAGACGAGAAGTTGTCGAGTGCACGAGAGTACGTCGCGTAGGCTAGTCCGTACTTAAGAACAATCGCGATTATCGCGAGAACAATTATGTTCTATTTGGTAAACGAGAGGGATGAAGCTAGGAAAATATGAAATATATACATTCGCTCCAAGTTAGATAGTTTACCTTTCTACAGACAGCGCGCACATGAGTCTTAGTCTAGGTATCTATCTTAGAACTACTTAGGTCTAACACCAGGTCCCTTAGGTCCAGGGATGTCCGACGACGTCCGAATGAAATCTAGAAAAATTTGAAAACCTAAAAAGAAAATATATATAACCCTGAAAACAAAATATATAAACCTGAAATGAAACGGATTAGTAAGAGGAAAGACAACGAAAGCGAAACGAATATGAACCACAATGATAAACCAAATAGATAGAACAACCCAACGATGAGATATAAGAAAGCTAACAATGACACGAAACTAAACCAACAACGAAACATTCGAATATTACACGAAATATTCGAATTTTCAAGTAAAGATCGACAGAAAAGAAAAAATAAAATCTGAAAAAAGAAAAATAATTAAGTCCTGAAAAGAAAAAAAATATTAAAACCTGGAAAAATCAGAAATTAGACCTGAAAAGAATTATTAAGAACCCAACGATGAGACAGAAACAACCCAACGATGAGACAGAAACAACCCAACGACGAAACATTCGAATATTATACGAAATATTCGAATGTCCAAATATAAATAAATATAAACGAAAACTAACATCTGAAATAAAAAAAAAGTAATTAATTGCTGAAAAAATAATAAATAATTAAGATCTGAAAGAAAAAGATAATTAATGACTGGAAATAAAAAAATTATTAGTAAATGGTTTAATGGGGTGGGATGTGGGTGGGGGTGGCTAGCCCCAACCACATTTCGACCCCCACCCCTCGCGCACAACGAAAATTTTAACGTGTCACTTCCGAAGTCGAACCGACAAGTGAGTTGTGCTCCGTCGCGTCGCCCCTTATATAGCCGTCGATCGGCCGAATTCTCCCCACCCCGATCGGAAATTTTCCAACTTTACCGATTCCATTATTTATTATTTTTCCGCTTTAATAGCCACTAATTTATTAATTTTTTCACTTTTATCATAAATGTACATTGCCAGCAATTTGTTAATAACATTTTTAATTTGTTGTTAACAATCGGTGTAATAATTTATAAACTTTTTGTAAATTATAGATACATTTTAATACGAGTACTTTATAAATTTACGTAATAGCCAATAATTTATTAATTTTTTTCATTTTTATTATAAATTTACGGTACGAATAATCTGTTATTAACAATTTTAATTTGTTGTTAATAATCGGTGTAGTAATTTATAAACTTTTTGTAAATTATACGTACATTTTAATACGTACGGTTTCAAGTACAAGTGATAACCGGAAATTTATTAATTTTTTCACTTTTATTATAAATTTACGTTGCGAACAGTTTGTTATTAACGATACAAATTTGCCAATTTGTATACATGTTTTATGAACTATAACTAAATTCGCGCTTTCTTTTCTTACCTTTTACCTAATACTTGGTTTCAGTAAAAAATCGTGGCATTTTCGAAAAACTCGTATTCTTCTACACCTCGTGTAGAGCAAAATAAACTCTACTAAGAACGCTTAATGGTTATTACAAATTAGATAAAAAGTTGAAATTTGTCGGACAGTGTAATTCTGATTTTTCGTCATTTCATTCGTAGACCTGTAACATGCTCGATAATTAATCAACGTAGATCGTTTACTCGGTTACTCGGTAACTCGATGATTTAACCGTTTAACACGCGAATGCACGTAGTTATCCTGCCCGTATTTGTTAAATGCCGATGAATATTCTTCTTGCGATGTAATTGAAATTACAAAAACGAGCAATTTTCATTAAGTGATACGTACGTTCCGTTTTACGCGATGCGACACTCGTTTCTTTTTACCAACGATCCGATAAGAAGCGTCATTTCGCGTGCTTTATCGGTTACGGGGGTTACGTTTCACGCGATTCTTAAACTCGCGGATCTAAATCGAGACCGTGACGTAATTTTCGAGCTGAAACTGTACCACGACAGAAGCGACGTATAAATACATTAGGTAATTTTTAATATCAATTGGAGGAGCAGCCGTAACGACAACCCCGAAACAAAGCCAAAATGGAGAGTCGACATCTTTACGATCTTACGTTGTAGAGAACAATGGTAGCCCATAAGCATACCGAGCATCGGAGTCGATAAAGCGACGGTTTTCCAAGCCTGTTCCAAGCGGTATCCTCGAGCAACTCGATGTTTCGAATTAACGAAAAAATTTCTCGACTCTGGAACCGGCAAACGTTATCCGATGGCGGATAAACATCGCCGTGACTTGGACAGAGGTTCCAACGATCGATCGCGAGTAGGCACTCAAACCTTGCTTCGATTTCTTCTCGGCGATCTCGCGGAAAATCGGTAACGACGATGGATCTACGTTTAAAGGTCGCGAAACCGCGAACGCGTAATCGATAAATCGGTAATGCCATTCGCTCGTTAGCCAGCTATACGAGCGGAGCGTGTCTTTGGTATTTGATATTCCGCTTATCTCGGGCTGCTTTCCGTCCCTCGCCGAAACCGCGCGCGTCCGCTCTCGCGAGCTGTCGTCGCCCCCCGTCGTGCACGGTTTCTCCGAATCGCGGGTGTTGGTCCGAACGCGATATTTCACCGCGGAACGTGCCGCGTATCCTTGCTTTATCCTCGGGGAGTAATATTTCAGTAACGGGAAGCAAGGTTCTCGGTCACGCGGACGAGATTACGGTAAACGAATCGATCGGTGGAAAAAAGCGACGCTTTCGCTGGAAGCGACGGTGAAAAACCGAAGCATTTTTCATCGCGATCTCGTCGAAGGAGAATCGTTCGATCTAGCCCTCGATCCTCTCCTCTTTCTTTTCTCTTTTCGACGCGTCGGTGCAATCGAAACTTACCCCCGCGTATGCCCTCTATCGAACGAGTTTAACGTCTGTAGTCATTCTGTTCAAAGGAGCCACGCGTGGCGCAGCCTGTCCAGAGGATAGCGTTCGAGAGGAGAACGGCGCGTGCAAATGCAAAGGCGTGACCTACTGTCCAATCGTCGATTGCGAAGCGGATCTAAGCGCGAGCCTGATAAAGCCAGGGGATCATAAAACGCCCGGTAACTGTTGCGATCATTTCGTATGCCTTCCCCCAGGTAAGATATCCGATCGAATGCCTCACGCCGTGTTCCACGTTCGTGCAAACAAAGCCGTCCAACCGGTGTTTTCTTTGTTTCCGTGAAAGACGCTCCAAGACCCGAGCCGTGTCCCGAGGACAGCGTGTGGACCGAGGATGGAAAGTGCGAGTGCGCGCCGTGCCCACCGGCCAGCTGTCAACCCGGACATCGTCCCGTTCAAGTCAAGCCTGCCCTCGATCCCGAGGTACCCGATAGGTGTTGCCCTCTCTACGAGTGTAGACCCGCAGGTAGGTAATATCCTAACCGAGTCCATTTACTCTCCTTTACTCTTCCACTCGGAAGAATAACCTCTCCGAAAACCTCCATTCAAATTCCCTCCTCCCCCCCCCCAAAAAAATTAAAAAATTTTGATTTTTCACCAATCGGTCCTTATTAGCGTAACAAACGGGTTCGCGAATGCACGCGTCGACGTAGAGACCGCATTCGGAACTAGATAACGTCCGTTTTGGAATTTAATAATGATCCCCGTGGGACACACCACCTCGGGGACAGTTAACGACTATCGTAGCGTATGTCGGAACTATCGCTAAGCCACGATCGATCCTCGGATCCCTTCCAATGTTCGTCCACGTCGAATCAGGCTATCTATCTATCGATCCATCGACCGACCGACCGACCGACCGACCGACCGATCGACCGACAGCCGTTCGTTTTCCCTCGAATAGACGATTCGATGGCTATCTATCTATCGATCCATCGACCGACCGACCGACCGACCGATCGACCGACAGCCGTTCGTTTTCCCTCGAATAGACGATTCGTGTTTGACCGACGCACGTTGTCGAGATTCCTACAGGTATGCGATGCGAAACGTCAACGTGTTTGTTTACATTGCAGAGGCCGTCTCATGGGTAAAAGTGGCGACCGAGATGTCGAAATCTGCGAAATATTGTATTTACGAGAACAAGGCGAGGAAGTTGGGCGAACGATGGCAGGAATCGGATTGCGTTAGCTGCATCTGCCAGGAGGACGGAGTATCCTGTCAGGAACCGATGTGCAAGTCCTGCGAAAACGCGATTCCGCCCGACCCCGGCGAGTGTTGCCCTCACTGTCCACCGCTCGAGAACACCACTCTTCACGAACCTCGACCTCCCTGTCCAACTTCCCTCGAAGATTGCGAGTTGACGTGCGAGCACGGTTACGCGCGAGACGAAAACGATTGTCCCATTTGCGGTTGCAACAAATCCAAGGTACAACGGCGAACGATGAAACGCCATCGGTCGACGTTCCAGCTAATGCGCTGTCACGCTCTGTCGTTCTGTTTTCAGGACGTCGACGACGACGACGACGACGACGCCGCCGACGCGGATGCCGACGCGACGGCAGGGGTACGCGCGACAACCGAGATCGGGTCCGTGGACGAAGCGAATTGTCCAGAGTTACCGCACTGCGGCTTCAATTGCGATATAAAGAAGAACGAGAAGGGTTGTTCGGTGTGCTCCTGTGAGACTTTGGAGACGTTCGAGCAACAGCCCATCAACGATACCGTTTCGGTCGACGACACCGGCAAGAAGGTTTGTCCCGAGGTGAAGTGCGATTTGCATTGCGAACGGGGACTGGTGATGGACGAGAACGATTGCACGTTTTGCAAGTGTCGAGAGCCAGGTTCGGGATGTCCGCCTCTAGTCGGATGCAGAAAACGATGCGCCTTTGGTTACAGGACGAACAAACGCGGCTGTTCGGTGAGTAGCGAAGTAGTCTCTTCTCCTTCTGCTCTCGTTGCATGGAAATTATTCTGTGGATACCGTGACTCGTAGATATGTCGCTGTCGGGCCTCCTGCACGGATCATCTTAACGACACGTATCCGGAAGGATCGACTTGGCATCCGAACTGGTGCACCTCGTGCACCTGCGAAACCGGAGGGAAGCTGAGCTGCAAAGAGACCGTTTGCTCGGTAGCCTGCAACGATCCGTTGCCTCCGCAGCCGGAAACCTGTTGTCCCGTCTGTCCAATTACGGTGGTAAGCTTTTCCCGCTCGCGGTCGTCCGGTTCGCCGCGGAATCGTTTCGCCTCGAGTTGCCTCGAGTTGCCTCGATAGACCCGACTGCAATTTGTCCTTTCTTCCTTTTCTTTTCAGCCGACGAAAGGGAACGGACCGGTGAGCGGTCATCATCAAGGAGGCAAAGGCTGGGGCACCGTACCGATCACCTTGATCGCGATACTCGCCTTGCTCTGCGTCCTACTCATCGTCCACATCGTTCGCGGCCGATTCCGCGCTCGTCTTTCGCCTTCCGAGGCCTCTTACTCCACTTACCCTCCGCAGTACTATAAATGCGTGCCAGCGTACGACACGCCGGTGCATCGAAACGAGAAAATCGTGCCCTTGTAAAAGACTATCTGGCAAACCGGGAGAAACGCGAAACACGTTACGGACAAGCGGCGTTTTCTTTAACGCGCGGCGGCTTCCTCCTACACCGTGCGTGATGTAGCCTGCGTGCTGCACCGTGCTGCACCGTGCTGCACCGTGCTGACCAAAACTAGAAGAACGAAGAGGGGAAAATGGAAAACGGATCGATGATCCGGCGATGATAATAGAGCATGGTGGTAGGCGAGAAAGCAACCACGGCCGCCGTCAGCCAGTCTAAACCCGACGTTTTACCGGTTGAAGATACCACATATTGTAGATTCAGTATTATTTGTAAGTAGCGGACGGTTTTGCGATCGTAAGAGAAGACAACTGAGATACAGGCCGAAGCTCGCCAAAAGCACGGCTGTCGGTATCCTCTCGCGAATTCCTCTAATTCGATGCGATGTGTTGCCATGTGTAAATTACGATATAAAAGCTAGCGTGATTATCACGAAGAGGTAAAAAGAAAAAAAGAAGAAAAGAAAAAGAAAAAGAAAAAAAAAAAACAGTAAATACGCTAACGATAAACTTGGTAGATCCTAACTCGATCGAGAACCGTAGAAGAGAGAAGCAGGTGTCTTAGTCGTAGTATTAGTTCCCTCGATCTCTGGACCATCGTTGTGTTTCGCGATGCGATCACGAAGCTTCGCTGTTACTTGGCAATACTTGGACGATTTTATATCGGCTTTCCACGCGATTTTCACGCGCGCTGCTTTCTTCCTTGCTTACGCGTCTTCTTCTCGTCGCACTCGTCTTAACTTTTCACCTTTCCATTTCCCCGCTCCACCTTCTCTCCTTTTTCCTTCATCTTTTCTTCTCTTCTCCCCGCACCCCTCGTTTCTTCCTCTCGTCCCATTTGCACGTTTACCCATTCTCGGATCACGGGTAAAATGCCTAGTTCCATCGATTTCAACCGAGTGGATGAACGATATTAATCCACGTTCTAAACGATATCCTGTCCTCGGGGCGTCGTTTGTCACGGCACTGCTCGCGGGAGAGAATCGGTTACGGAATAACGCGCCACCTTCTTACGGCTCTTCCGGAAGCCCGCGGTTTCACGCCGGATTAAATCGGATTCGTTCAATTTGTCATCGTTTAACGACTACGGGAGGAAAGGAGGAAACGCTTTCCTCCTTGTTCGTTGTCCGTACGTAGAGCCAGCAAGCATGCCGGTGGTGCATTTAACGTCCTAGATTTCTATTTTTACCAGATTGTTTCCACGTTACGCCTTTATTCCTTCCGTCGCGTACGACCCGTAACGTTTCCACTCGAATCAGGCACGGGCGTTTCGTCGAGCGAAAAAAAAAAAAAAATTACGATGCAAGATCGTTTGACCGCGGTTCTTTTCTTTTCTTTTCGCGCGAATAAACCACGAAATCTGTCCGTGTTCGCGTATCGATTTTTCCCTCCCCCCGTCTCCTATTTTCCTTTTTCCTTTTTCCTTTTTCCTTTTTCCTTTTTCCTTTTTCCTTTTTCCTTTTTCCTTTTCTCCGTGGCGCGTTCTTTGCGATGCGAATGTGTCCCGTATGTCGAGCGTATCTTGCCTTCGATTTCGGTCTAGCGCATTTTCCATATCTACCGTTTCGTTTCTCTTGGCACATATCTGTACATACATATCTATCCGAGAATCTACTCGCCCTGTACAATCTCGCCGTTCCGGCAGCGTTATTACCCAAGTATTAAAGAGTGTTAGGCGTTCTACGAGATCGTTCGTTCGTATCGTGTTCGTTTTTAGACTCGATATCGCGCAGCAACTGCATCTCGTGCAGCAACGATAATGACGTAGCTATAACGTAGTTTGTTACTTACCAACTACAAAAGGAGCAAGAGAATACTGCGAGAGAGCGAGAAAGAGGGTGTGTGTGTGTGTGTGAGAGAGAGAGAGAGAGAGAGGAAGAATGAAGATTGGCGAGCAGGAAGGAATTGCGAGCATGCCACCTATGGATGCATGTATAGCTGTGTACGCGTGTAGTAGCTGCGACTGAGAAATGGAGAGAGGCAGAGAATGAAAGGAAGAGAGAAAGAGAGAATTATGAGAGAGCGTACAAAAGCGAGGAAGGGAGGACGAGAAGGAGCGAAATAGAAGAGGAAGATTGGAAGAAATTTCGTTCGGCTGTCGTTTCTCGTACGGGCGATGCTAATCGTTATCGTTGTAACACGAGGTTCACCGTCGATTTGTCGTGCAAACGCAAATTAAAACATATCTCTCTCTGTGCTTGGACGCAAGCGCGCGCGCGCGCACGCGCGCGTCCGCACGTAGAACCTCGTCTTATCATTCCTTCTCTCCTAAACTAACGCGTACATATATTTTTCCAATGCGACACTCACGTCTTATTGTACATCGTCTCTAACCGTTTATCGTCTAGTAATGCTAAAGTTGCCCGCGTGTACGCGTTATATTGGACGCGCACGCGCACGCGCGCGTCCTCTCTACCGTATGTAGAACGATCGTCGATAAAACGCAGACTGTATTTCGTACGTGTAGATGTACGTTGGAGACAATATGTATCGACGACAGGTTCGTACGATGTTCCCGTGACGCGCGACAGCGATGCGCGAGCCTCCGTCGTTTCTCCTTCTTCACCGCGTACAACGCGTTCTACCAATAATCATACCGATAAACGAGCCCGATCGTTCTTTCGTTCTCGCACGATCATGCGATTATCCCTCGTGTATGACGAAATAAACTTAATCCCGCGTTGCGAAACGAGAAACCGAAAGCGAGAAGCCGAGCGATTGTTCTCTGCGCCACGTAACGAGAACATGGCGGGAGCGCGGGTGCACGTAAATTCTATCGCAGAACGCTCGAGACGCGGCGAAAAGCAGCAGCCAACCGAGGCCATCGAGAAACGAATAGTCTCGTGCTTGCGCGCCCTTTTTTTGTGTACAGTTTCACCGTAACGAAATGTCATATCAGTGTAACTTAGACTTATTTAATATGTGCGAACTCGTATGCATATTAAAATCGTGCGTCGTGTTTAAAAGATAGCTCTTGTATGTTAAATAAAATGAGACTAAATAAAATTGTTGATATGTGATATATTGTATACGAGAGGTATGTAAGCTGGTAGGTAATTTACTTCTTTACCATCGGGTTTCGCGTTGTTTTCGACGCGTGACGCGTCGCCATGGAACTAATTTATTTTTAGTTAACGTTCGTTGTACGTACCTTGAACTCTGGACCGATAGATTCGACGAATTCGTCTACGAAAATTCGGCGTACGTATCTCGTGCGAAGACGATCTCGTGGATGGGAAGACTCGTCGTGTTCCGTTACAAACATAACCAACGCGACCATTCTTCGAACGGCAGACTGTCCTTCTTCGTCGTTGTTTGGAAACAGAGGTCGGTTAAATGCTCGTATCGAAATTCGCTGCTCAAATTCGAATTTAACTTTATATAAAAATGTTACACTCGAATCACAAACCAACTACGCCTATACGTAACGGTATTTTCGCGATAATCAAAGTTCTCTACAGATGGCGTTGATACGAACCACGCCGTCGCAGGTAAGGTGTCTTATCGTCAGTTCGTAAATGGCGCGCAACTAGTAAACGATCGTCTTTTTACGTGTTCCTCGTAACAGTTTGGTGAATTTTGTTTGTTCCTCAAATGCTCCTACCGTCCCTTCCATCGTCGATGCGATCAGACTGGCGCACAACGGACCGTAAGTCTTTGAGCGACGTTTTAAATTACAGAAATTAATAATCGCGATGTGACATCGCGCGACATGGTTTCGTCGATTTCGAAATCGATCAATGGCGTCTCCTATTGCACTCGTGTTTGCGTTATTCGATATATTAACCGATAATTTATTCCATTATTATCGTATTCGGTCGTCTTACAAACGACAAAGCGGTAAAATTTCGTTGCGATACGTTTTCGATATCGATCAGAGCATAAATCGAATAACACGTTTTACGTCGCATCGCGTGTATCGTAATCGATATTTCCTTCGAATGTACATTCGACGTCGTATTCGCGTTGAACGATGCGACACCGATATAACGTACGTCCATTTCGTTTCTATTTCGTCGAACAATTCGATCGCCTCGGAGAATCGTAAATACATAGATTTTACGTCGTCGTACGTAAATCGATCGTTGGCTTCGAACTTACGCGAAGGTATGAAAACTATCGAATGGTCGGAAAAAAGTGGCGGGAAAAATTGCGCGATACAATTTTAGTCGTTCTCGAGGTTCACAGAGGACGCTAGTAGAGGGGTAGCTACGGTCGGTAATCTAGTTCTCCACCGATAATATCACGGAAACGTTTATCCGTCGTAACGCGAATGCGCGTTGGGAGATGCGTTTAAACGCGATTCTGTTGCGCGATTTAGACCCATAAAGTTATCGGATCGCAACGATTGAAATCGGTTGTGCGCGTTTACGCGATAAATCGAAATCGGTATCCCGACTTCGCGCGAATAAATAAAAGAGTCGCGGCTGCTGTCTATATAATATAAAGGATACGCAAACGGTTTTCTACAGAACAAAAACCGAGACGTGATTCACAGATTTATGATTTATTTCTATACATCTAACGCGTCTCGCATGGTTGTACAATAAATTTTCGTGAAAGCGGTACATCGTTTGCGAGAGACGGTTGGTTTCGTGTTAGAACGCGAGATCGAATTGTCGATGGCGTACTCTTTGCCTATTCGTACGCTCGAGTCTACGGTCAAAAATATATTTTACACCAGAAATTCAACACTGTGATCGGCTTATATATACATACATGCACACATACATACACACACGCGGAAACACATCCGAACGCACAGGTACGCGCGCGCGTACCTCAAGCGAGTGCCAAGAATCGATATCTTTGCTCGCGAATGGAACGTTGGAGCGAAAGAACAGTCTCCGGCGATCGATCGTTCTCCGGTGGATCGATCGAATAAAGGGATGACCGCCGCGCGAATATCCGTATAGAATTTACCAGAAGTCTAGGCGAGAGAAGACCGGTGCGCGAGAAATAGGTTGGCGCAGCGATGCGATATCGATTTGCATTCGCGAAATACGCTCGTTCGCGCGGTCGTTTTAGCCGTGCATAGAAGGAGGAGGGAGCAGCTGACGACTCCATCGCGAACACCTTTGCGAAGGGTGCGCGTGTTTAACAACCAGTTCTCTCCTTCGAGGGAAGGCTCCTCCCAGAAGTTTTACTAAGGACGAGCCTGCCTCTCCTCCATTGGCGAGAAAACGCGCGATCGATGGTTCTCGTGGGGCGCGCGCGAACGTTCAACGGTTTCGCCTTTTCGAAATGACCTTTCGAAAATGCGAGCCTCGCGATCGGAGGAAATTGGCGAGGCAGGTCGCGAGGCGCGATAAAACGCGACCGCTCGGGCAAGTAGACGCGACACCGGTCGAAAGAGGAAGAACACCGAGTCAGGCAAACGCGTGGACACGCGCAAACACGTCGTCGGTTTGTCCTGGATGAGCCGCGTCGTTTCGATCGGTCTCGTAATCGGTTGGTCACGTCGAATGCTGAGGGGGTGGAAGCGCGATTTCGTATCCGGTTGGCATGCTCTGTTGGTGGTGCTGGTAATGATGCGCGGTGGACATCATCTGATGATGCGTTTGTTGATAATACTGATGATGCATGCTCGAATGGCTAGAGTAATAGACGGAAGTCTGCTCCGCGTCTTTACCTGAAACAGCGAGCGTCGGTATTTGGATGGAAGCTGCGCAAGAGGCGCGTAGACACTAGGTAACGAGGACGCAAAGAGCGAATCGCGGGAAACGAGAAGGAGATTGGGACTTACCGGTTTCGCAGACACCGCGTCCGTAGCACAGCGTCTTCACGTCGTTCATGGGACTGAGACCACCGCTATGGGGGTGCGTGGTGTGCACGGAGGACGGGGCGACAGGTGTGGCGTATCTCGGATGGCGCGGAGCCATGGGACTCATACCCATCGGGCTGCACGGGTTCACCGCGACCGGTGACATGCTCATGGTGGAGAGCGGCGACATGGCGAGATTCGTGCCGTTCGAATCGATGCTCTGCAACGATTGAATGCTCTCTCCGTTGCTCACCGAGTTGCCGATCACGTTGCCTGGATTATTTTGGCAGTTGAGGGGCAACATATCCCTGAAACGAGGAAAAGGAAAGAGAGGTGAGCGACGAGAATAATCGCGAGCTAGTGCTCGTACCGATTGTCCGGGGTCGGTCGGGGGCGCAGATAAGAGAAATCGTCCGGGTGAGAAATTGACCGTGTGCCCCGCCATAAATCTTTGACCGTCTCGTAAAGAGCGGAGACAGACGGAAAAGTGGAAGGAAGGTTCGGTCCGAACCGAGAAGCACATGCGAGGTTCCTCATTGTCTTACGGATTGGGAAAAAAACCTATGACCCTTGGCCTAGGAAGGGCCAGCGACGGATCACGAACCAGCACGCACACACACACGCTCGCGTGCACGCGTTCTTCCGTTCCGAGAATTTTCTCGACGCGTTCGAAAAAGGTCGAGGAGAGAGAGAGAGAGAGAGAGAGAGAGAGAGCGAGAAGAAAGGGAGAAAAGGCAGCTCGTTCGCGACGCATTGTTCCGTGGCCGATGGAAAGAAACGTTCCCCGGCCATTTGCACGCGCGAACGTTTCCCTCTGTCTCCACCGGCTTCGCTGCCCTCATCTTTGCAGCGTTAGACGCTGGCGTACGTGTTCGTGTCAGCGTTTCGTATCAGTGTTAACGTAATGTTCGCGACACGCACGTGCACGCACGGTGGTCCATGTGCAAAGCAGCTCCGCCCCTGACCACGCTTCGTTCCTGCCACTTCGTCTCTGAACCGCATCGCCGACCTTCCCTCGTCGCCCTGCCGCGAACCCCGCATTTTTATGCTCGCGTTCCAAGGTCTCCGTTCTCAAACGCGTCTCTCCTCCACCTCTACCGCTTCCTCCTCCTCCTCCTCCTCCTCCTCCTTCGCCTTTCGTTCGTTCCACGTCGCGATTTCCTTTGAGCGACCACCGCGAACGACCACGGAAACGTTCTCCAGAACGATCAGCGACGATTCGCGAGCGGATTTCGGTCGTTTCGCCACTCGACGAACGCGATAATCACGCGTGACCGATGAAAAAGAGAAAAGGAGGGAAGAGAGAGAGAGAGAGAGAGAGAAAGATAGATGGAAGGCAGCATCGGAGGGCTGATCGTGGCCTTTATGTAGTAAACTATTGGTAGTGCGAACAGCTCAATGGTGAAACGAGAGACGTAACCGAAGCTGCGTCATAAAACGGTAATAGGGCGTCGCGTTTCCTTTTCGTAGAGGTTTCGACGAGGGAGTGGGACGTTAGGGGCGGAACAAGGTGGAAGCTCGAACGAAGGAGCACCTCCGCGTCCGAAGGATGATTTTTTCGGGCGAACCGGTCGGCAAATTTAGCGAGGTGAAAGCTCGCGAGGGAAGAAAGGCCGAGCGCGATAGTAGCTCGACGAGCGAAATCGTCGCAAGCTTCCGAGCGCGCAGCGTCGCGTCACCATCGTCACCGTACGGTCCAAATCGGACCGTGACCGAGCCACATCGTAGCCATAACAACGTTCCTCTCGTTCTCTCTCGCTCTCTCTCGCTCTCTCGTTATCCTTATCCATCTGGTAGCCGCGCGACATCGCGTACGCGGCGGCGAAATTCGAGGAATCGCGAGTCGGAAATGGTGAGAAGTTCGGCGAGAAAGCTTTCGGTCGGAGAAGCGTCGCGAGGACGATTGGCGAATGGAACGGGCCTAAGTCGCGATGTCGAGAGGACGGAGAAATAGATGGGAGTTTTGAAACGGGTGGGTAAAAGTAGCAGTGGCGGTAGTCGGTGGGTAGGTAGGCAGTTAGAGTAGGTAGTAGGTAGTAGGTAGTAGGTAGAACGGTGACGGAGAATGGTGTCGGGTAAATCGGATTCCGGGTTTTCCTTCAAAGACAAACCCGCGCGCGTACCCCGATGATTTCGGTGGACGGGGCTCGTTCGGGGAATGATTTACCGACTTTGGGCGCGGTCAGTGCGTGCCCCAGGAAGAAAAACGCACGACCCTGGTACACATGTCGAAACACTTGTTGCTCGGTGGAAAAGTCGAGGACCCCCCGTTGACACACGTGCCCGCCATGCAGGGACACGGTTCGCGGGACGCTTTCGCGTTCTCGGTCGGGTGCCATCCTACTCGGTCGGGGCAATTTCGGACGCGAGAGAAGGAATGACTTACGTTCTCGTCTGCGGCGTGCGATCCCTCTGTCGTCGATTCTTGAACCAATTCGCCACCTGAGTCAATGTCAAGCCGGTCTCCTTCGCCAGGTTCTTCTTCTCCTCGGACAGCGGGTACTTGGTCCGCATGTAGCACTGTTTCAACGCGTTCCTCGATCGTTCCTTGAAACAGTACACCACCTCCTCGCCGTCCCAGATCGTCTTCGGCAACGGATATTTCTTCCGCAGCCGATACTTGTCCACCGCGCCGAGCGGCCTGCCGCGGATCTTTTCCGCCTCGCGATAATGCGACTTGAACCACATCTGCTGCAGCTCCGGGTGCCGATCCGGCGTGAACGGGTGGCTCTCGAGGATGGAGTAGAGCTCGTGGTAGGCGCCTCGATGAAAAGCCACCGTGGCTCTCGCTATCAGCACGTTCTCGTCGCGACGGAGCAGCTCGCCGGGCGGCAAGGACCATAGCAGCCTATCATCCAAACGTGCGTTCCTTTTAGATACCGTGTCCAATCGTGGATACTGTTACGCGGGTGAGAGCCGACGCGCGATCCTATCGAGTGAATCGTGGAAGGAAGAGAGGGTCGGCTACCGTCGGTAGCTTACTGTACGCGGCGGTAAGGTAAAGACGGGACGGGAGATTTCGACGACGGTGCTGTCGGCGGTGTCCCGCACGGACGCGATTCGCGCGACGCTCCTCGAATCGGGCGAAAACCGCGAAACGAGGAGAAAGAAAAAAAGGCAAAGAGAAAATAGAGAGAAAGGACGATCGTTACCTCGTGAGCTTCTCGATATCCTGCCTCTGCGATAACGCCTTGCACATGCAAGATATCTGGTCCGGCGTATAGTTACTGGCCGTAATTCCCAGAGAAAGACCGCCGATATTTCCGATATTGCTGGACGTATTCGCGGAACTGCAAGTGGTGAGCTCTTGAGGATACTGAAGTCCGCCGTTGGACACCGGTGTCACCGTTTGCGAATGAGAATGATGCGTCAACGCGAGTCCGGGCATCGACGAATCGTCAAACTGTCCGGTCGCCGCGTTCCGGTGCATGCCACCTATTTGACCGTTGCACTCGCTGTTCGGCGACGACAATTGCTCCGAACTATCGGGCATTCTCGTTCTCGATTCCCTCGCTTCTCGTCCGATCACTCCGAGTTCATATTACTTGTCACCGTCGTCGGACGCCGATCCGACGCTTGGCCGAACCCTCGTTACGTTCGCGACTCCGATCCGTTCGGTCCTCGCCGTTGTTGGCGCGTCTTTCGCCTACGACCGCGATCCTCGACTCGCGTTATCGATCGGCAAATAAACTCGCGATTCCGACGCGTATACCACGCGTATGCCTTACGGGTTGACACGGAGCGCGCGTACACGAAAATAAGCATCCGCTGCACCAACAACGATCCACGCTTATTCCATCGGCCGAGTTTCATTCATGTCCCCGCCATCCGTAGTTTTTCATTCATCGGTTCTTACCGCCGGTGCACGTAGATCGTGTCTCCTCCATGCGAACCGAGCGTCGCGTCCGCTTCGAGAACCAGGCGGCCCCTCAACCTCGTCCACCTTTACCGTGCATCCTTCGCGAGAATTCTACGCCGACTATGGCACCGACGTATCCCCGTTTCCTCACCGTTCCAAACACACTTTTTCACCAACCGCGTGCGGACCACGAATCGACTGAAAGCGTAAGAATAGATGTTTCACCGCGATATCGCGAGGATCGCGTGGAAGCGCGGTAACGCGGTTCTGCTGTGCTACTGCCGACTAGAACGACGATCCTAGCGGTACCAACGACACTGCCGATCACTCCGCGCCGATGCCGATGCCGATGGCGATGCCGTTGCCGTTGCCGTTGCCGTTGTCGTTGCCGTTGTCGTTGCCGTTGTCTCCGAGTTTGTCGTTGTCGTGGTTGCCGATGCCGATGCCGATGCAGTCGGTGGTGGAGGTTGCCGGTGTGCCGGCTGTTCTCTCTTCCTCTTCTGGACGGCCTTCTTTTTCGTTTTTTCTGGCACGCTCGCGCGGAGAGGAGTGGAGCAGAGCGCGGTGCGGAGCGAAGCGGTCGCTCCTCGCCATTGGTCGCCGTGGAGCGCGCGAGCTCGTCCCATTGGAGGAGCACGGGGGCGGCGCAAATTTCTACCCCCGGTCGAAAGCCACCCTATTCGGTGTCCACGGATACCGGCTTCCTCTCGCCGGTGTTTCCTCACCTGCGTGCGTACCCGACTCTTCTCCGCCGACTCGAGATTCCGTCGATCGTCCCAATCCTTCCGTATCTCTCTCTCTCTCTCTCTCTCCGAGTTGCCCGCTAATTTTCCCGACCGAAAATTCGCTTGGCTCCGAAACCGATCGGAAAATACTCGCGTGCCCGATCGCGCGAATCGCGAGTACTCGAACGAGTTGGCCGACCGATCCAGAGCACGGGAGACGAGCAACAAACACCGGAAACGGAACGCGACAACGTTACCGTACACCGTGTTGTGATTCTACGTGCTGCTATCGCGCCTCGCGTTCGATTAATTTCACAACATCGGCAACAATTCTCCCACCTCTTCGTCTTTATCGCGATCGTCATACGCGATGCTTTCTCTCTCTCTCTCTCTCTCTCTCTCTCTCTCTCTCTCTTTATCTATTTCTTCGTTGGAAACCGCGCGTAATTTTACAAACGTAAATCCATTGGCCGGATAAACGGCGAATCCGTATCGGAGCGAGTCGGAGGAGGAGGAGGAGGAGGAGAGGAGGAGGAGGGGGAGGAGGAGGAGGAGGAGGAGGATGAAAAACGCGAGTCCGTGATGGAATCGTACCGTCTGGCCAGGACCTTATACGACGTCGTCGACAGGAAGTCGGATGAAAATAGCATCGAGACTGACGGACCACCGGCGTTACGTAGATCAATGAGAGCCGATGTTCTCTGGCAGAGACAAACGAACGTGTCTTTTAACGGTCACGAAAATCTCGATGTCCGCCACGCCTCGCCAATCCTTTGAATCCGCTCCGCCTTTTCCGACTAATTGCCCGTCCGTCTGACTCTCCGAGCTGACTTCATCGCGAGCAGACGTCGCACGACCGCGAGACTTTGACGAATTTCCATCCTTCGCTCGAACCAACTTTCCTCTCCCCCTCACTCTCTCTTTCGGCGAGCGGATCGTCGAGAGACGGAAAACGGTGGACGTTAACGTTCGATCGAAGGAATCTCGAACGAATCCTCGTCGTCGCGACGCATCCACGATTCTCCTTTGGCTTATGGAAAAACTCTCGGATACCGATTCGGAGAGAACGCGCGTTAGATACGAAAGGATGACACTCGCAGCGGCAAGAACCGATGATAGAGGGGCGGTGCCGCGCTTTGCGATGGCGTCTCCTTCGATTTGGTGTCGGATGTCCTCCGAGCCGCCATTTTCCCGCTTCCCCCTTTCCTCGTCTCCCGCTCCCTCCCCCTCTATCTCCCTCGCTCGCTCCCTCCCTCTCTCTCTCTCTCTCTCTCGCGCTCTCTACTCCTCTTCCTCATCCTCCTTTTCCCTCCCTCGCTTTCATCCCCCGAGTACCCTCTTTGTATCCCTGACGCAGTTCCCGCAGGACAGGGGTGCGCTTTCTTATCAAAACGATTCCCGGACTATAATCGAGACGACCGCTGTCGCCTGTCCGCCTCCACCTAATCCTCCTCCTTCTCCTCCTCCTTCTCCTCCTCCTTCTCCTGCTGCTTCGTTCTCGCGAAACCTCTTCTGGACAGGTGTACCTAGCGTACATCGCGTATATCCTGCCGATCTGTTCGTGGAATAACGCGGAAGCTTGGCGAATAGGAAGACGTTGGTAAGGGAAGAGCAGCATGGATCCGGGAAAAATTCGCGGCGCGAGTTGGCACCTGGATAATAAGCAAAGGTACTCGGAACGCGACTCGTAGGAGTAGCAGACAGGGGCGCGAATGCCGGTCGCGGCGACGAGGCCGTGGGCGGGAAGGACGGAAGGAAGGATGGAAGGATGGAAGGATGGAAGGAAGGGAGCGAAGCAAAGCGGAACGCGGCGGAACGGAGCGGAGCACCGTCACCGGTAGCAGCGGCAGCGTCGTATTTCGTTGTACCGCGTTTAATTGCATTCCAAAATGGCTCTGTGCAAAATCGACTCGGCGATCCTCCGTTTGTCCTCGTTTAGACCCTTGAAGCTCTCCTCTGCTCGGCGAGCGAGCCTCTGGCATCTTCACCGGTGTAAATCCGTATAAATTAAACCGGACTGTTCCGCCTCTCGTACATTCGAACGCGACGTTTCACAGTGGCACGCGGCTTCACGTTCTCGTTCCAACGCTGCTGTCCACCACGACGTCGAGTATCTACGGTTTCACCTAACCGGCCCGCGGAACAAAGCGCGCAAAGAGGCCTTTGCAACGACGACGCGTTCGTAAGTGGCGCGAGCTTAACTCGAATGCAAGAGGAGACGTCGCGAACGGCGCGCTATTAAAACGCGCGCGCCTCAAAGTCGCGCTTTTCTACAAACGAACGCTCGTTTTTCCAACCTCTTCAGCCATTGTGCCCGCCAATCGACGATCGTTCGAAACGTCCACACCACCACCGCCGTTATCGCCATCGTCGCGTTGCGGATGAATCGGAGAAACGCGGTTTGGAATTTCGCAAAAGAACGACGAGTCCGGTCTGTATCGGCGCGGAGGAAGAAACGCCGTGGTCGTGGCGTCTCGTATTTCCGTTGAAACGCCGTAGGTCGCTAGGCGCGTACACGGCAGAGATACGAATTTATATCTCTAAAAGGAATATCGGTGAACAATAAGCGGGTACGTAGGGCACGCGGGGATGGAAAGTCCGGACGCGACGCGGTGGTCGCGTTGGTGGCCGTCATCGGACACCGGCTCGTCGAGATAGCGGCTATCTTCGCGCGCCCGTGCATCGCGTATACAGGCCAGACGACTAGAATCGTCCACGATCGGTCGACCGGATTTATTTTTAGAAGCTGACATTCTTGGTACGCGAGCGCAGGTGACCGAGCCTCGTTCCGACTTTCTTTCCACCGGTTTCGAGGCTCGAGACAACGACCGCGGGACGCGTGCATTTCCATCCATCCATCCATCCATCCATCCATCTATCCGTCTTTCCATGGACGGAAAGTGGCCACGAGGAATCTCGAAAGCGAGCAGAGACGAAAACGCGAGATTCGTTCGATCCCCTCTCTCTCTCTCTCTCTCTCTCTCTCGCTTCGCGCGACAATGAGATATCGCGTTAGCGAGAGGATTAGGCGACGTAATCCGTCGGTTATTTCCCCATTAACGGGTCGTCGGTGGAAAGATCGGTGCGGAGATTCTATGGCTGGAAAGCGCGAACAGGCGTGAACACAGGTAGCTGGACCAGACCTTTCTAATGCCGGAAAATATGCCCTTTATGTGTCACTGGCCACTTTATGCCACTTTATGCCACTTTATGCCACGGTTCGCCTTCGAAATTCTTCCAACGTCGCTCTACGCGTTCTCCTCCGATATCCTCCGCAGGTTCGGTGGTGGTTTTTCGCGAATCGTTTACGCGACGAAACCTTCGTGTTTCCCGGATACTCGCGATACCGCGAAAGCTCCGTTAATCGTTGTTTGTCATCTTTTCGCGCGTGCACGGGAAATCGTATCCGATTCGACGTAGCTTACGAAGGGAACGCGTTGCGAGCGTAGGATGTCCTAATAGGCCGAAATTGTCGATTACACGGTTAGTTAGGCGCGCACGGTGATTTGAGGGTAGTTGAAACGGTGGACTGTCATCGTCCCGACGGCGACTAGTCGTCGGATTAAAAGGGGTTCCAAGAGAACACCGAAGGAAAGCCGCGCTATCTCTTTTGCCGTTTTAGCTCTCGCGCTTCCACGACCTAATCATTCGCTATGTTTTTAGCTACCTTTCACCTCGGCAAAAAGAAACGGATCTGCACTCTCGTTTAATCGCGTTGCCGCGCGATTTACAGCGACGGCTAATTAAACCGAACCGAACGAGCCTCTACCGCTTTCCCGTTCGATCGTTCGTGCGTTTCATCGGTATAGAAAAATGCCTAGAAACCTGCTCGTTTATCGAACGCGCGTTGAAACGCAAAACTTGGATTTCGTGTTTGCGCATATTTGGTATTTTGATTTGCCGCTGGCACGTGTCACTCGCGCTAAAAAGCCGTTTCTGATATGTGCTACCTCGCACATTCGAAGTCCTCTTATCTACGAGGCTCGCGTCAGGTGAGTTTTGTGGGAAAAAATGGTGGACGCAGGTCTCTCGCTAGAATCGTCTTACGCTGACTCGCACGATTTATCTGCAGGTAAGGTACGACTCTTGCATCGTCGCATAAATCTGCCAAGCCCTACAAACTCGTTCTCACACACTCGTTTTCTGTCTCTTTTTTCCGTTTCCAACGTTCCGTGCTCGAAACTCGAAGGAAAATACGACGCGCGCCAACGTTCGCCGCCATTTCCAGTCTCGGCGAAACGTTTCACTCGAAACATTTTCGAGAGCCGACATCCCTTTCCGTCGCGAAAAACGCGTGCACGTCGCGGGTCTGCCCGCGTCCGAATCCGCGCTCGCAACAATAAAGGCTTGACGCCATAGAGGTATTTGCCACTGTTATGTCGACAATATGTTCCGGATCCTTAATAACGTCGACAGCGAGCGGTATTAAGAGGTATTACAAAGCGGCGACACTTGAATGCGCGTCGAGGAGGGTTCTCACTCTTGAAAAGAGCATCTGAACACAGAGAACCCTGTTGCCCCCTCGATGTTATTATGAACTCCCTCCATTCACGCCACGTTCCTGTCTTTCCCTGTAACCTTTCCCCCCTCTCGTTCGCTCTCTTGCTTTCACCCTCTAATTCTCTCTTCGTCCTCTTTCCAATCCGATAAACTTTCTCCAGCCCTCTTTTTCCGGCCTACCTACCCTCGTGTTGTACCCTCGCGTACGCGAAATTATTACGCCACGTCTCGTACGCGTACGATTCGGGCTGAGCGTCGATCGCGAAAATCAAAGATTACGAAATGCAAACGGGATTCGTTGGTTGGAAACTGCCCGACAGGGGTGGAGTTGTACCAGCGTGTCGCCAACCCTCGGACATTTTTCGCTCCCGTGTAGCTATCATCGTCCCCCTTTGCCGTCAGAGGGTGATGGTTCTCGAGCGATGAAATCGTTCGTACCGCGACCAAGATTTATTTAATTAGAGGTTACACCCTCGTTCCCCGTTCGCGGTTTACGCTCGCGTAAACTTTCCACGTTTGTCGGTCGCGGTTGGTCGGGCGAGCGAGCGACGGAAAAGATGGGAAATTTTAGTCGTCGAGGCAGCTCGTTTCTCACCGAGAAGGCAAACGAAATAAATCGCATTCGTTGGTAAAAAGTTATTCGCAACCACTCGCGCGACTTTTCTTCGATCCACGATCGAATCGACGCGTTGGTAATTCGCGTACGAGTAAGGAACGTGTTAGGGACGAAGACGAAACGCCGTTCCGACGATTCTTCCCGCTGACCGAGCAGACATCTCAAGGCCGCGCCGTTTCTTTATCGGCTTATCACCGCCAAGTTGATCAAGCTACTCGCTACGTTGTGGGAATTGAGTAATTATCGCGTCATACCTCCGAGAGTCGTATTTATAGCGCCTCCAGGAAGCGTCTACCCAGTCCATCCACGTGTACTGGCCGATTAAAACGCGAGCCAACCTCGGACAAGCTGTTCGCACCAAAGACACTCGACGATATCTCCTAACTCTCTCTGTTTTCCTCTCTTCCTGCCACTCGTCGGTTACACGCGTACGTTTTTACGTTGCTCCGAGAGAAACGGAAGAAATTCGGGAATACTTGGAAGATTAATCCGATCCGTTACTCGCGAAAGCGTACGTTTCTCGAGCGTAGGCAAACTCAGTCTTAGCTCTGTTAGCTCGAGGCTGACAAACGCTCGAAATCTCTACGAACCCGTCAAAATATCCTCGCAATTGGTCGTTTGCGAAGCCACGGAAGTAGGATAGCCAGGTAGTTGGACCGGCTTTTGTGCCAACTAAACGGATTCTCGGTGAGCCAACGATCGACCGAGCGCGTTTTTCGTTCAACGAGGTGTGAACTACGACGGAAGTTTAAACGAAACGGAAGGGAAAACGAAAGAGCCAACCGACCATTAAAATCGCATCGATACGTGTCGCGCGGTGCACAAAATGGACGCGAGTCTTTCGACGGGGAAAGGTTCCGGGCCGATTAAACCTTCGTTTTCCGGCAATCGTTTCTTCTCCGAGCTCGTTGCGCCGTTCCTTTTAATCGCGAACGCGACGGAAATTAAATCAACGCCATCGAACACGAGTGCAAAAGCCGCGATTTATTAGCGGAACCCTCGCACAGCGGTGTCACGCGTGACGTAACTTATGGTTGAACAGCGATGCGAGCGATACAGGGTATGAGAGAATAGCCGTATATAACGAAGGTTATGGTGTTACCGGTGGATGGTGGAGTGGCAGGGTGTCCAGTGACTCCCATGTCGGCTTGTTATCCGGACCGCCCCATCGTTATCTGCAATTACCCCAAAACAGCCCCTAGTTTATAAATTATAGACCATCCCCATCCCTGTCGCCATACACGTCCCTCCCTCCTTCCTTCGTTCGTTCGTTCGTTCGTTCGTTCGTTCGTTGCTGCTCCGTGCGTCGAACCCCCGCCAGGATCGCATCTGTCATCAAACGTGACCAATTACGCTCAATTATCTTGCCAACTACCCTTTTTTACATCCCGATCGTCACCCGCTCGCTATCTCTGGCGGCCTCGTTGTTGGCGGATGGTCCGGCGATTCCGACGACTCGACGAAACCACTCGACGAAACCACTCGACGAAACGAACGGGCGAAATCGTACCGACCGCGTAAGATGCGAGATTAGAAGAGACGTAATCTTCGCTTACGCCGGTGATCTTTTCGAAAGATCGGTCTCCGGCAATGGGACTCGGGATGCACGCGGACCGACAATACGATCGGCCTGTGCTCCACCCATTGTCGCGGAGATTTCAATGGACATTGCGACAATGAACTATCGACAACTGTGCGCCGTGTTGCGCAAAGCCCGGGGGATTCCCCGCTCGACGGGCATTAAGCCTGCTTGACTGTACTTTTCACGCCCATTTCCACGGGCCACCATCCGAAATTATTATGTCGGCCGAAACCCCCTTCTGCTATTCCTATCCAAACGAGCATCTGCTATTACGCTTATCCGCGATATCCGCGCGTAGATCGCGTTCGCGAGTTCCAACGCGAGTATGCACACCTACGTGATCAACGTGGACGATTTCGGGTTAATCCATCAGGCAACGAACAAACTTGTATAACAGCCTTTATTTTTATCGATATGATACAATTTTTTTCCTTCTTTTGCTTCGACGCGCGTTACCCGCGTGAAATTCGGTCCGTTTGCATCGCTTCTCGCCTGTCACGCGTTACACTGTAATTCTTACGAGACTCAACGTTGCAGAAATAGGTCAAGCGATATGATTCATATAATTTGATTCCGTTCCGTCGAAGCTGCCGTGGCTTTGCACTTTTATTCCACCTCCATATCCCGTCTCGTAACCTTTTCCCGTAAACGTACGTACTTACGCCCACCCGTTCACGCTTTATTTTCCGCTGACGCCACCGTGCACGCGTCCGCAACGGCAAACTTTTCAAAGTCACGGCCATCGCCGAGCTCTATATACCTCCGCAAAACCGCTACCTATTATTAATAATGTTTATATAATAAGATTGACTTTAGCACAAAAATACATTTTTATAATTACATCTATACCATATTCCTTCGTATCGATGATATCGAGCTTGTATCGATTATCCTAAATAATTTTACCGTGTGTCGAAGAGTCGGTGCGGACATTGCGTCGCCCCGTGGAAAGCGATCGAATCGCGACGCGCGTCCTCGAATTTTCTCGCAATCCGAGCAGGAACGCGTTTTTCCTTTCTATCCCGTCCACGCGACGTCGCCGATTCACCACCCCCACCTCCATTTTCCTTTGCCCAGATGTAATTTCCGATGCTCTTTCTCTCTTTCTCTCTCTCTCTCTCTCACTCTCTCTCTCTCACTCTCACTTTCTCTCTCTCTCTCTCTCTCTCTCTCTCTCTCTCTCGCGCGCGCGCGCACGCACACCAAATGTATATGTCCCTTGTGTGTGTATGCGTGTGTGTCTGTGTATATATAATGTATACAGCATGTATGTGTGTGTACATATTTATAAGTGTATGCATATACGTGTGCAATACGTGTGTATATCGATAAACATGCACGCATACTCGCATACATACGTATTTATATACACACACGTATATATATTTATATATATATATATATATACACGCGAAAGTTCAACTTTAATACACGCTTGGAAGACAGAGGATCGTGTTATGCACATATCCCTAATTGTAAATTTATTTCTGCCGAACCGGCGTAAACGTATCTATACGTATACGCGCGCAGATTACGTTTAGGTAGGTACACACATGCGTCGTTACTCGTCCATCGACCGTTCCGCTCTCTCTCTCTCTCTCTCTCTCTTTCTAACTCTCTCTCTGCGAAACCTTCGTTAAATAACAGCGGTTGAAGATCGATAACGACGTTGCCTTATCCGCGTCGAGTTGGAAAAGAGACGACGACGGTCCCTTGGATTTTCTCGCTCGACCACCTCAGGGACAAGCGTACTCGTTACGATATTTACGCGACAATGGCCTATCCGTTTTTTTTTTACAAAGTAACGAATGTACATTCGGAACGCGTGAAAAGGGTTTCTCGCAACGATCGTGGAAGCTCGCGACGCGTGTCGCGGTTCGTCTACGCGATCGAAACCGTTCCGTTCTTCCCCGAAGAAACGGCTTTTCCTTTTTACGCCGCGAGCGAAAAGGTGCCTGTGCAGAGCGAGCTTCGTCGACCGTGCCCTAACGTATTTACACGATATGTTACATCGAGAATTAGAAGATAAAAACGAAACGATCTAGTCTAACGGTCGTTACACACGCAAAGTAGAGATACGAGACCTGCCGTTTCGCCGCTGCTTCCATCGTGCCGAGTAAAACGACGAATCGCCGTATTTGAATCTCGTCACATACGCTGCGACGCGATAACGCGTCAACGTCGTCGAATACTATGTACATTTTGAAGAAACGAAGAGAAACGAAGAGAAACGAAGAGAAACGAAGAGAAATTGTCGGATCGCTTAAACTAGTTAATCGCGAGCGCGTTAGGTAGTTGTGATCCGTGTATCGCCGTGATACAGGTGACATAGCTATCCTACTCGTTCGCTCCTACTCTAACGCGACGCTAAGACTCTCAGCTGCCAGACAGGGCCTCCTACGTCTCGACGCTCTGATTTTTGTCCTAATTTCGTCGTGATAATCGAAGCAAGGATTATCGAGATTTCGTGACGCAACGCGGCAGGAATTGATCCGTCCCCGTTCGCTCGTGGTACGCTATCGCTATGCTAATACAATCCTCTTCGCGATTTACGTGGGCAACTATCGATAAAAAGTACGAAACATTATAGAAACGTTTTAGACGGGTATACGATCTGTCGGGGGAAAAAAGTGACATATTCCATAGAGCTTTATCCTCCGAGTATACTGCTAGACGTTAGAGCTTTATCATCGACAGGGCAAAGTGGAACGATATCCACCGGAAATCGGAAATCTATCGATACAACCATCAGAGCTTGCGAACACGAATTTAACACGAAAACGGTGTATTTCGTAATACTTAATCCAAACATGCGATACACCTGTTTATTTCTTCTAGTGCGTCCTAATCGACTCTTTGGTAACCGAGAATGGACCCGTTTGCAACCGGCCTGAAAGCGGCCACCGATGCAAACAGATTTCCAAGCAAACGACCAATCCCGATCGACCTTCGAAGGATTCGCGTAATTTCCTCCGATGCTCGATCGAACAGCCGCGCTTCGATTCTCATCGCCCAAGGTTGTCGATTCCGAATCGTCGGTGTGTGCTATCACGAGATATGTATACGTTTCAAGCAAAAGTTTCTTCTTCGGATTCTATAACGAACGCTCGTATCGATGATGATGTGGTATCGGTGAAGCAAGACAACGTCGTGTCGCGACGATGAGAGAGCATCCCGTAGAAAAGGTTGGTCGTTCTCTGATTTGCATCGTCTTAGGCAGCGTGTCCATACGCCTCTTACTCCATGGTGTCGTACTTGACTTTCTTCACCTTGAAGTAACGATAGGCCGCGTAGCCGGTGATGGTGAGCAGAACGGCAGCAGCGAATGTCGAGCCAACCGCGACGGGCGCGGTTTCATCCCGAAATCCGCGCGCGCTCAACGACGTGCACGAAAATTCTGTCGCGAAATTGTTATTCTTGAACTTGAACGGCTGCAGTTTCATATCTCTGAAATTCCAAAAAACCAGCCGGATCGTTTGTTCGTTCGTTCGTTATTATTATCCAAGCGACTCGCTCGATAGCCGTGCAACTGATTTACCTGAGGAACACGGTCGCGTGATTTTTCCCATCGGTCAGCGCGATTTTCGTCTCTCCTTCGCAGGCGTACGATTTTCCAACCGGCGTCGGGAACAGCATGGAACTGTGCTTTTGCGCGGTGCTCACCCTCACCGTTTTCCCTTCAACAACAAACATGAATTCGAGATTACCGCGTTGGAAAAGAGACTATTTCTCTGCGCCACTCCGCTTACCTGGTTGATCGATATGCTCAAAGTGTCGATCGCTGGAGTTGTACGTCAGTTCGATTTTCTCGACGTACCATCGCTCGCCACCGGGTGTCTGAAAAATTTCGTTTTTCCCTTCGATGATTCATCGTCGTCGTCGTCGTCGTCGTCGTCGTCGTCGTCGTCTGGTCGAAACGGACGCATTCGACTAATCGTTAATCTTGCCCCTTAACGCGAGCGATAGACACGAACGCGAGAAAACGAAAAAAAAGTGGAAAAGAGGATCGGTCTAGTATCGATTTTGTACGAGAAGGAAGCTTCCACGGCAACGCAACATTCGTGACCTCGGTCGTTTCTACGAACCACCCGTATCGTGCGACTCGTCAACGGTGTATACCTAAGGGAAGGAAAATCAACTTGCGTGCCCAGACAGCGATCCTATTAGTTTATCATCCGCCGAACCAACTTCTCCAAAACGTGCGCGATTCTTTCCAACTCCGAGGTTATTTCAAAGTTACCACGAAGATCACGAACACGTTCGCGAGTCTGTTGGATTATTCGAAAATCGTCCCAAGTCGTCCCAGATCGTACACGGTCATTCGAGGTCATTCGAGGTCATTCAAGGTCATTTGTCAATGACAAAGCTCGCGATCGAACGTTACCTTTGCGAAGCTCCATAATAGCATGAACGCGTTCCACTTGAGCGACATTGTCGCCGTATTTTCACTCTCGCAATTTCCGGTTACAGTCGCGTCGTTTGGAACGTAAATGCTGGCCTCCTGAAAAGATCAAACAATTTCACGCTAATCACGCTTCTCTACCACCTCCTACAATTTCCCTTTATTCGAGCAGAGCGGGAGCTTACTTGATCCTCGCCGGATGTCGTTCGATATTTCACCGCGATCAGCGCGTCTACTTCCAGAAGAATACAAGCTCGTCCGTTGCTGCCGTCCAATCGGTACAACGGCCTTTCCGTGGCGGAGGTGCGTTGCGTGGTTGTCGACTCCGAGGACATCGTAGTGGTGCTTTTCAGCTCGAAATTTACTACCGACTTTAACACGCATCCGCGTTAAAAGATCGTCGCGGAGAATATAGTTCAGGTATAATAGACTTGCACGTTCCATCGACGAATACGGGTTTCGTAAAGACTCGCGTCCCATCTTTGTTCCTTCGTTTCACGCATTCGAAGCCAAGATGCGGAAACGTGGAGACAACGTACTCTACGAGAGACGAATCACGCGAGAAGCCGCGTTGCACGCGTTGCGCGCCATGTAACCGCGAGCACTGGTGACAACTGTTTAGGATCTCGAGCGACTGTTGTTCTCGCGCAGAGACCAAGAAATAGCTTTACGCACCAGGACGATAAGCCCGATATCGCGTTCCTATCCTCGTCGACGAAGCGCAACGAACAAATACCAAGAATCCGTTTAGATAACTATTCACGCGTACGTATCGATCACGAGCAAGCATCCAAGTCAGACGCACGCATTCCTCCGTGACGATGAAACGCGTATTCGTCGACGTTACGAAAGTAACTTATTGCCCCTCGTTTCGCATCGTCTGCGACTATCACGCTGATTCGCGTACCAAGGGAATATTCTTACCAGAGGTAACTTGGATTTGGCGCCAGGCAAGTCGATGACAACTTTGGCCGTACGACGCGTGGTGTACAGTTCATCCTCTAACGCTTGCGGCGTCGGCGACGAGCTAGGCACGCTGAACGCCGTACTCAAGACACACCCTAGAAAGAAAATCGGTTATCGAAGGATGAGGTAGGTCTCTTGATAACTATTTTTGCCACAGGGTGCCCAAAGCGTGCGCGCGTCGATGACTTTTCCATTCAATGTTTCTCACCCCACCTATAAATGATACGAGGTAGTTGACTTTACGAAAAAACGCCCCGTAGAAATGACGTAGTACGCTACTGCACGCAACAGCTGGTAAAAAGTTTCTCCCTTATCTTTCCGCTAGTCACGTTATAATCTCGTTCCTTCGAAACGCTGCTAACCAAACTAAATGCAAAAGAGACACGCATTTCGTTTCGTTCGAAACGGGGAAATATGCACGACTGCCCGACCACGCGAATCACGACACCGCGATTCCGATCCTTCCTATTCGAGGATCTTAAAACGCGTACAAATTTCAGATTTCGTTAACTCGGTGCTTCCTCCCCTACTCGTGCAAATCTCTCCGACGAGAAGTCCCAGCAGCGTCGCCAACGTCTCGCGCACGAGATATCTCGCAGAAGCACAGCGAAGCCATCACGATTGATCGGCTCTGGGACAATTAATAGAGTCGCGATGGAATCCCATGAATTTTCAGTTACATTACGAAGATGCACCGTTAACATTGTTATCTCGTCGAACGAATACGATCGTGAACAGCGAGCTAATGGAGAAAACTCACAGAATACGAATATCGCCTTGGTGTTATCCGTACGGCGCGACATCCTTTTCCCTCTGCCTGTGCTCGCAACGGCAACAAAAATGAAACGAGTGCGTCAGTTCTGGTCTAGTTATGTCGATTGCACGCAACACGATTTCACCCGGACGACGTTCGCGAACTTTGTGAGTCGAACGCGAAAGCTCAGGCGCAGATGGATCGATAATAGGAGCTTTTAGCATGCGCTGCGAAGCCTTCCCGTTTATACGTGTACGTGGAAAAGCACGAGAATAAAGTTCGTTCCGTGTTTCTCTTCGGGGTGGCGTTGCTGGTGACGTCGACCGGCGTCGGCGTCGGCGTTGGCGTTGGCGTTGGCGTTGGTGTTCGCATCAATGTTGAAATTGCTCGTCGTTAATTCACGGTTTGGCACGACTCGCTTGTATCGAACGAGATACCTACGAACGACGAAATTCCATTCTTTCACCCTTTTATCCACCATCGAACCTCCATTTCTTTCCCCTTCGTCTGCCCCCCTGTTTCTTTCCAAAATATCTATTCGAAAAAGATTGCAGCAACGATAAAAGCGAGAGAGAACGATTTACACCGGAATAAGAGACTCGGTACATAGATGCGCACCTACGTTCGAAAGTAGAAACGGAGGGCAGGAATGATTACGTTGGAAACGAAATCGAATGGCAATGCAAGTTTCTTTCATCGTGCGAAACGTAAATTATGTTCTTCGATAAGAACCGACGATAACGACGATTGTTGGTTACGTCGTTAAAACCCTTGCGGCCTGCGATAATTAAAACTTCGTGACATTTCACCTAACACGAATTAATTCTCCTTCTCGTGTTTTACCACTGTTGGATCGTCGTAGCCAATATCACCCTTGCGACAACATACACCCACACGGGCAATGCAACGCTTAATTTTTCCCCCAATGACGTACGAAACGTACGTGCGCGTGCAATGCTACGTATACGACGCGCATCGTATAACGTAAAGCGAAAAGAAATGACGAATCGTGGAGAAACTTGATCGAACAGAGGTAAAATGTGAAAAGAATCGGCTGAATCGTAGGCGCAATGATTTCTCAAATTTAAACGTAGTACCGGATAAGCGGTACAGATGGCGTTATTCGCATCGCAGAAATACACCTATTCGTTGATGCACATCGTCCACCACCAGATGGCCACGCGAAAGTTCCATTGCGGTAGCAACGATTCGTTTCTACGTTTCACCGGTCACGATCGCAGCTGAGACAGAAACAAAACAAGGCGTTAGCATAGTTTTGGCCGTGAATAAGTTCGAGTTCGTCGCAAAGGTGAAAAAGTTGGACGTCCGACCGAATTTTTCATTCGCAGAGGTATACATCGATGATTGACAAAGGTCATTAACGCTTTTTTCGAGTGGAAGACTATGTTGGCTCTCAGAGTAAGGGACGAGGGGATACCAAGGGCCGAGTGAACTGCGTAGTGTGAAGAAAATTATTTTTCATTTCCAGGCGACCGTCGCCGATTGTTTCGCAGTTACCAGCGTAGTCCGACCGATCGTTCAGAATTTCTTGGTTAGAAAGAATTTTGCTGCATCTGTCAATCCTGAAGCGAAGATGTCGTTCGAAGTCGAGAAACGTAAGATATCACGATTATTTTGTCTATTTCGGTAACTATGTAAAAGTTGATCGTTTCGATCGTTCGATGCGATCGAATATCGCGACGTAACACGCATCGTTCTAAAATACCGAATACTTCGTTCATCCGGTTACTCTTTCGTTGGAAACGATAGTTAAGCTATTATCTCTGTTGAATAGAAAAATTCTTGACCATGCCGCTAGAAGAGAAAAGAAAATACTATAAGGGAAGCGTAATGACATTGGATCAAATTCCGACTTGGGTGGAATACTGGAATAAAAATAAAACGAATATCGGCGTAACGAACCTCGAGAAAGTCGAGAAAGTTGACGAGGAGATGGCTAAGAAAATTTCGATATGGCAAGGAGACATCACGTCCCTAGAAATAGACGCGATCGTCAATGCAGCAAACTCGAGCCTTCTTGGCGGTGGTGGAGGTACTTAAGTAGGAACGTTTACCTAGAAATAAGTAACAAAGGAAGATAATAGCGTAGAATATAAAAGTATAGAAAGCGAAAGAGTAGGAAATATCTAAGTACAGGATATTAAAGAGCGTAAACTCTATTTCATAGTTGACGGAGCTATTCACAAAGCTGCAGGGCCAAATTTAAAGAAAGAATGCGCCACTTTGGGAGGATGTCACGTGGGTGAAGCTAAAATAACAGGGGGTTACATGTTGCCTGCAAAGCGTTAGTATGCAAAAGTATGGTGGATAGGATAGTATTTTCATGGGTATAATGTTTTAGATGTCATTCATACGGTTGGCCCGCAAGGGGAAAAGCCAGAAAAGTTGAAGGAATGTTACGAAAACAGTCTGACAGTTGCCAGAGAGAATCAATTGCGCACTATTGCTTTTCCTTGCATATCGACAGGAATTTATGGATATCCTCAAAGACCAGCAGCCAAAGTAGCTTTATCGACAGTCAAGAAGTTCCTAATCGACAACAAAGATGCTGTAAGATTCTATTAAGAGACTAACGATCGGTGAGGTATAGTGGTATTTTTGGCAACTCGAGATATTCATGGCAGTTTGAAATTGCAGGTGGATAGAGTAATCTTTTGCTTATTCTTGAAAAGCGATAAAGACATATACGAGGAATTGTTACAGAAGTATTTTGCTATCGATTAGATCATTCGCTGGCAAATCATATATATGTTACTCGTATTTCGAGATTGTGAACTCGAAACGAACAGAGAACGAAACTGTATTGAGTGTATACATCGAATAATATTCGTAGAAAAATATGAAAACGAGATATTATTCCTAGACATCTCCTTCATTCGAAACGCATTCGACACGGATTCGTGGGCGATTCGTGGGGGATTCGGGTATCGCGTCGTGGACATGGTCAGTTGGGCGATTCGAAAGTTGGCGGGCAAACGCGTCGTTCGTCGTCGCGAAGGATCGGGAATAGCGCGATCGCAGCGCTACGGCTTTACGGCCCATCCGCATCGTGTTTCGACCCGACGACGGTGCGTCGCCATCTTGAAAAATCGAAGTGTGGTAATGTCTGTATGTGGTAATAGGTGGGGGACGGTCGTTAATGTGGTGCGTCTCGTACGGAAAATCTGTCACAAATGGGTAAATATCTGTTGTATTGAAGCCGCTCGATTAAAAGATCGCTCGGTTTTGATTTTTATCGCGTCAACGACAACGCGAGAACGCTGGCAAAAGAAGCACACCCATAGCTCCGTAGTGCTCTCGCCGATCTGTCGTGGCGAAGGTGCGTTCTCTCGAGCAAGATCGCGGCTAGTGAGTAGTGCGTGCGTCCAAGGAGTACAGTGTCATTTTTGTGGATAGTTTTTGCGATTTTAAGGTCAATTACATGGTCGGGATCGCGTTTCCGTCAGCTCGCCGCTAGGAAAGTAACGTCGTCGCATCGTCGAACGTCGAAAAACGAGTATGTGCGTATGCGCGTTCGCGGCGTGAAAATCATCGGATTCGTTGGCCCGGTAGAAACGGTCGAAACGGTCGATACGGGTGTAAAATATTGGAATTTCTCCGATCGAAAGAGGACATAGGCTGTACCTCGTCGTCGGTGACTCGTCCCCTCGCTCGATCGCTCGGACAAGGCGGACGTACGGACGGAGTCCCGTAATCCTGAATGGCCGCCGCCACCGCTTTCTAGGTTACTGACGGACACCCAAAGAGAGCGACAGAGAACGAACGAGTGGGATAGAGAGAAAGGGCAGGCGTTGGAGTGAAAGAGTATACGCACACGCGAGACGGATAGAGAGTGAAAGAGCGAGAGAAAGATAGGAAAGGAGGCGTAGTGAAAAGAGAGCGAACGAGAGGGAACGCAGCGCATAGAGAGAAAAGAATAGAATAGAATAGCAGAGCAAAGAAGGGGGAAGGAAAGAGAAAAGAAACGAAGGGAAGAGAAAAGAGGAAAGAGCGAGCAAAGAGAAGAGACGAAACGAGACGAGACGAGACGAGACGGGACGGGACGGGACGAGACGGGACGGGACGAAACGAAACGAAACGAGACGAGACAAGAAGAGAAGAGAAGAGAAGAGAAGAGAAGAGAAGAGAAAGATAGCGAGCGAGTGAGTGAGCGCGCGCGCGCGCTCACGACTTTATACGCGAGCAAGTACCGATGTGCGGCCTCCGAGGTACGCGATCACCACCGTCTCTCGGGTGTATTACTCGTGTTTGTCGCCGATCTCGGATCGGAGACTCGTTGCATGCGGCAGACGAGGCTTGAATCGCTTGTGCTGCTACTGTCGCTGGTGCTGCTACCACCGCTGTCGCCGCCGCCGCCGCCGTCATCACCGCCGCCACCGCCACCGCCACCGCCACCACCGCCGTCGCCACCGCCGCTGCCACCGCCGCCACCGCCGTCGTCCTCGTCGTGCACCTCGACTTGGACGCCGAGACTTTACCTTAGATAAACGCGTGCTGCTTTCGTACTCGTACGCGTGTATATGCATCTCGACGCGTACGTATCTTAACGGACTAGTGATATATCCCCGAGCGTGTTGCGTCCTACCTAGGAATACAAGTGGGTGTGGGTTTCGTTCGTATGGCTGGCGTGTATGCATGCGCGTGTGCTCGCGTGTACGTGCCGTATGTAGTTGCGCTCGTGCGCATCGTGTCCATGTACGATCGCTCGTTTATGTACACGTTCATGTAACGGTGGTAAGTATGAAAAAATCAGGGGCTCGAGAGGAGAAGATTGCCGGCGCGAGGCACATCACGAGAAGTCGAGTCGTTTTTCACGTTCCTTCTCTTCGGCGTCTCCACCGATTCATCAAACAGAAGTTCCGAAAAGGCTTGCTCCGCATTTTCTTAGTAGTAGTAGTCGTCGTCGTCGTCGTCGTCGTCGTCGTCGTCATCATCGTCGCCGTTGTCGCTGTCGCAGTTGCTTTCAACGTTGTTGTTCTCGCTCATGCTCACGTTAACCAACCTAACCCCACATTTTGCTCGTTCGTCTGTCACGAGCACGCCTCGAGGTTCGCCGGGAGTGTGTTTCTCGTTGACGTATCGTCCCGCTGTTCGAGCTGTGTACGAGCAGCGGAACGCGGTGTTTTCCTTCGTTGCTCGTTCAAGAACCGGCCAGTGTGCGCGAAATCGACACAGCTACGAAACACGGTGGATCGACGTTCACTCGCCGAAGCAACGCGTATGGCGATCGTTTGCCAACACGTACGCGTTGTCAAGACCGCTTTCTCGTCCAACGTACGCATCGCGCGCACCGTTGTCGTCGGTAAATCCTCCTCCCAACCGAAACGCTGCTCTTTTTATTTCCTTTCCCTTTTTTCGTTTTTCTTCTTTCTCACGTTCGTCTCGGTGATCTGATACCTCTCGTTGCGAGACACTTGTACCCGCGTCGATTCTATCGACCTCCGTCCTCCTTTGACCGAATCGTACCCGCTCATCAAAACGATTTATCCGCGTTACCTTTTCGGCATTCGTGAATCGTCGAGCTTCCCTGTCCTTCGCCAAGTTGTCACGCCGCAAGAAGCTTACCCTCGAACACGTTGCAACGAAACCTTTTCCGCTCCTGCTGGTCGCGACGTCGAATTATTTCCTCTTTTCGATTCGAACGGACATTTCGTGACTCGGATTGGAAGGGACGAGAAGTAGACGTTGCAGCAACAGTCTATCGATTACGACGGCTGAGAAACTTTACGCGATTCGTTCGAACGATATCACGGTTATCGATCATTCTCGACAATCCGCTCGTACGTTTACGAACGCGTGCTCCTCGCCGTGAACGCGATACTCTCGGTGCAAAGTGGCAAACGCGATCGCGTCTCCATCGGGAGATTTGCAGTCGGGCCGTTATGCGTGTTCGACGATGCGTTCGGATTCTGTCGCGGTCTACGAGCTCGAGCTACGAATTATACGCGATGGCATCGGATAACCAAGCCGCGTGCGTTTTCGAGTGCGATTTTGCTAATGAATCGATTCACGGTCAGCGGATCGTTATAAAAGGAACGAAGCGCCGTCTCGCCGCCCGGCATTTTTCGTGCGACCAACGAAAGAGACAAGATCGGACGATGCAAAGATCCCTCGATCGATTACGTCCGATTCGAAGGAACGGCGCAAACTTATCTTTCCCAGCGAACGAGCCAACGAAGAAGATAGAGCGACGGGAGGGGGGTTGGTGGGTAAAGCGTTGGTCGTTACTCGTTAGCCAACGATTTATTCTTGGATTACATTATGGAAGCCCGGTTCGCAAGTTTATGTAATAGCGTTGGTCCGTGGTTAGAACGGTGGTGTACGATGAACGGAAAGGCGAAAGAAATGGAAGCAAAAGAAAGGAGAAACTTTCCTCGCGATCGGTCGGATCAGCGAGCCTAAGTAGGAAAGGCGAGCGCGTGCGCGCGTTTTTCTCGCTCGATCTCGCGAGAGTGTTGCGCCCGTTTGCGCGCGGCGGCGGTGGTTACCAGTGGCCAGTGGCGTGGCCGGTGCTTTCGAAAATTCGGCTGCTCGCTGCTGCACGCTGCACGCGTGCCGCTGACCCAGTTCGCAGGGATGCTCTCGAACCTAATTTTGCCGAACGCGTTCTCCGCGAGAGTCCGCTTCGCCTTTCGATCCTTCGGCGAGTTGGCCGCGAGTCGGCCGCGAGTCGGGAATCTGCCGAACCGCAGCGACGGTCGCGTGGCGCGAGGTTATATAGCCGGCTGGAGCTTCGGAACGATCGGCGCACGCGCCTTTTCTCCGCCGCGAAATTCCCAATTGAACTTTTCCTCGGTCCGCGTGAACGCTGACGCGACCGCGACCGCGTCCCACTCATCCTCCGCCGATTCGCGCACGCTCGCTCTCGCTGATTCTATTATTAGTTGGAAATGGCTCGCAGGTGTCGACCGGATAACGCCGCCTTCCAAACACCTGTTTCTCTCCTTCGTTGGCGAACCGAACCAAACGCCGTTTTCTCTTTCCTTCCCTTTTTCTCCTTTTTTTTTTTTTTTCCCTCCCCCCTTTTCTCCATACCCGTAGACCTTTCGCCTTTTCCATCGGCGAGCCGCGTGTCGGTCTCTGCGGCTTGCGCGCGGTAAAGCGGTCGACCAAAGACGGAAGCGCGCGGACGACGTGTCGGCGTGGCGCGACAAAGGGCGTGCGCCGCAACCAGCGTTACGAAATTACGATTCCAAGGCGGCCAGTGTCCTTTCTCGCGTAATCTCGGCTAACCCGCGAAACGCTGCAAACGCGCCGTGTCGTCGCGCACGGCTAAAGAGATAACGGCGCCGGGACGGAGCGAATTAATAATCTCGGTGCCGCGGGACGACTTTCGCCAACCTTGTTTCGCTCGAGGAATTCGCGCTGGAACACGCGAGGCGGGCGCGCGCGAACGTTGGCGCGATTAGGCTGACGCGAGCACCTATTCTTTCTTCGTTGCTCGCGCGTCGTTTCGCCTTCCGTGCGCGATCGGAATGCCCGTATTTCGGCTAGGGTTCTCGCGCGCGCGCGTACAGTCGGCCAGCAGAAAAATCGCGACCGTTGGCGTTTTGTCGCAGAGGACAGGACGGAAGCGCGACCGAGTACAGGGAGTCATCGGACATTCGCCACGCGGAGAATCGTGCAGCGAACGTTGGTGGTTTTCTCCTTGCCGGTCGAGACGCCGCTTTCCCCGACACGCGCGATTTTCCTATTTTCCGATCGAGCGCGGATCGCGCGCGAGACGTTTGTCGCGGGTCAGACGAGCGAGAGCCAAAGTTGGCCCGATGTTACATTCCGACGGGCACAGCCGGTAGCAAGGTATGATTCACTCTCTCGCCTACCTGTGTACGACACAGCTCCGTTTCTATGGCTGACTCGACGACGCAACGGGGTCCGTGTCCTCGTTCGCATATCGGCTGGCAAACGAACGACCTCGAGTTCGCGTGGATCGAGGATTCGTCCACCGAGCGATTCATCGAGAGCGTTTTTTCGCCGCTATCGAGAGGACGGGAAGAGCTCTAGTAGCCGACGATCGCGTTCAGCCGCGTTTCCTGCAACGGAGACGCGTTTTTAATCGTTGCTCGAACCTTTTGTTTCAGGCGTAGGAGGAGAGGGTGCATCGTCGAAGCGTTGGAGGGTTTGAGGCAGTAAAACTGGCTGGCCTACAATGTCCGCTAGTATGCGGAGCACTTTGCAAACCGTTCCAGAATCAGTGCCGGCCGACCACGTCACAAACTCCAAAGTAAGTACGAAAATACGAGCAACGCTAAGCCCGTTACGCTCGCGTAGCAGCTGTAACTGTTCTCTCGACGACGAAACGGCTCCCCGTGTTTTCCAAGTGCAGCAGCAGCGCGTCCATGGGGAAAATCCCGTCGTCGTCTTTTTCGGCCGCCAAACGGATAACGGATAACGGATAACGGATAACGTGTAAACACTTCCCTTTGGAATCGCGCGGGAACGACGCACGATTGCCGTTTCGTCGATCGATATTGTGCCTTGTCACGCAAAACGTGTTAAGGGTATGGTTGAAGGTCGAACGATTACGCTCGGAAGAAGGGTTACGTTGGCGTTGGCCGGAAATCGCGTAACGTCTCGATCGGAGACCACGAAACGAGGGACGAACGGAAAGGAAAACGCGTTGCGATCGCTGAGAGAGCGAGCGTGTAGTACCAGCCGTCCGAGCGTAAGCGTGTACGTTTTGGTAATGTTGCTCTGTTGTGACGGACGCGTAATTCAAAGGTGCTTCTTCGTGACGTGTTTTGTTCACGGTTCGGGGTATACTCGCGGTGTACTTACTAACGCGTAACGTTTCTCGATGGAGAAAGAAAAGGAAGAAGATAGGAAAAGCGCAAAGGCAACGGAGAGCCGTCGAGGAGACGACGAGGACGGTAAGGGAAATGGCGCGCGTTTGCCGAATGCTGGATTTTTCCTCGCTCGACTAGCTCGGATTCCGTATCGCGGATC